CTAAAATCTCGGTTCATTAACGAAACCTCAAAATATAGTAACATAATTTATTTATATATATAAATACAAAAGTAGCTCCCACAAAGCTACCCTACTAAACTATTATTGTTGTTCAAGTAGTCGCATCTCCACCTCTCAACTCATTATCTCGCTCTCAAATAAAAGTGAGCATCGTAGTCTCATCTACATGGAAAAATAGGGGTAAGTATTAAATCATTCGATATAATAAAACATATATATAATTAATAATTACATATTATCATTAATTACAAATCATCAATACACTAAGATGCCTTCTGGAAGTCTACCCTAACTATGTCCGAACTCAGAGGCTATCATTTGTGGGCATATTGTGGTTGGCACTCACAATATCATTCTGACCACCCTCCACACAAAGTGAGATTAATGGCACCCTTCATCACTCGTTCTAGAGTACCCTCCAAGCACGCCACCAGTCATCTCCCATCACTTCTCACCACCTGATTTCGTAGTCTACCTGACCCGACCAATCAGTGAAGTCTGGGACCTCATCTGAATCCTCCAACGTACTTAATACACTAATATACTTTGTATCACCCCGAGTACCACTCAAACACAACAACAATCATTCACATCTGCTGGATTCTAGACCACCTGTCCTTATGGCTCATTCGGGTCAATAAATAATAGTACTTAACTGATTATGGGTATCAATCCTCTGGTTCAGTCTAGCCAAAAAATAACATCCCATGACTGATTCTAGGCATCAGCCTTCGGGCTCAGTCTGATCCACACACGTCACAACACACTACTGATTCTTTAAAATTTCTAATTTCATTCTAGATTTTAATTATTTTTCCTAACATACCTTTACTTTATTTATAAAATTCCAATTATACCTTTAAACATTTTCTATTATTCCTTTTTCATCCCGAAATCATTAAATTACTATTTTGCCCTTAATCTTTTCTTAAAATTCCATGTATGTCCCTAAATGACTATTTTACTCTTGAATATTTTCGAAAATTTCTTCCATATCTCAACAATGACTATTTTACCCTTTGACATTTTTAAAAATTCCTTCCATGTCCCGAAAATAATTATTTTACCCTTGGACATTTTCGAAAATTCCTTCCATATCCCTAAAATGACTGTTTTACCCTTGAACATTTTCAAAAATTTCATTTATGTTCCTAAGATGTAAAATGATTATTTTATCCTTAATCTTTTTTAAAAATTCCCAATTTATCCTCATCTTCAACCTCTGATTCCCGATACGTCATGTCCAACCTTCAGGTTTCAAATTTCCAAGTTTCAAACACCCAAACTAGTTCTAGATCCAAATAAAACATGAATTATGTCTAATTCAAGTTGAAAACAACAATTTTGCCATATAATTCATCCTTAATTTCAAGAATTTCAACAAAATTTCAATTTTTGCAAAACATGAAGAAGTTTTCAAAATTTGTCATTCAAATATTTAGATTTTCACTCCTATTTCTTATTCACAGAGTAACAAGTAATTCAGTCTCATATATTGAATGAATTAAATTTTTTCTTACCTGGTGTGATATTTCTACCGAAGTTTTTTTACTTAATTCAACATCTCTTCCGTTTCACCAGATCATGCACGAATAGAGTATCGTTTACTTGAAATTTAGACGAAAGAATAAAAAAGGATGAGAGGGAGAATCACTTGTCGCTGTCATTCCTTCCCCATTCACATTTATATAAAGAATTTGTAGCAGATACAGATAAAACTTCACTACGAAGTTTTTACATTGTGTAATATTTTTATAATATATAATAATAATAATAATAAAATAGGTAACAGAAATCATAATACTTAGTTTTAAAAAACTTATGCTATATCAGCGGTTGATTCTTATGTATAACATATTATTATAAGTTTTGTTCTAATGAGTATTGCTTATAAATATTTATATTTTTATAATTTTTTATTTATTTTTTACTTGATAATTTAACATAATTTAATTATTACAATTAAATATAATATTTTTACATAAAGTGATGATAAATTTATTATGAGTTATAAATTTTTATAAATATTAAATTTTTAATTTTTTATGAAATTTATTTCTTTTAAAAAACTATAAGATCAAAATTAAAATTAATTTTAAAAAATTAAATAAGTGTTGTATTTCATTATTATTATTATTGTTATTATTATTATTATTATTTTGTAAAAATATTAAAAATAAAAATATTTTTATCATTTATTTTCTTCTTTATAATTGATTTTAACTTTTTTTAAATTATTTTATTTTAAAAAATATAATTTTAGATATTAATTACTAAAATAGTTTAAAATGTTTAAGTAAATTATTTTAAGTTTTTTTTTCCTTTTTTGTTAAACAATATTAATTTTTTAGTATTTTAAAATTTCTTATTGTCACATAACTCAATTTTAATGTAATTATTTATAAAATACAAAAAAAATATTAAGAAAGTTAAGTATATTGTGTTAAAAATATTAAAAATATGTTTAATTAATTATAAAATTCTCAAGAACATTTATTGAAAACAAAAAATATTAATGTTTAATTTACTGAGAAAATAGTTTGCACATTGATATGATAAACCAATTTTAAACTTTTATTTAATCATGAATCATCAATTATGACAAATTTATTTATTTTTAAATAGAATATCTTAAAGTTCTAACAACGTTATTTCTAATTATTCTTTTTATTGATTGATAATATATAACACTTTTATGAGTTGCAATAGAACTTCTAAAAAAAATGGAGTTATTTTATTATATCAAATAATCTAATGTACAAAATATATTCTTTTTCGTTAGAGCAACTTTATGAATAATATGGATAAAAACTAATAATATTTTCTAAAAAAATATTTTAAATAATAAATAAAGTAAAAAATATATAATGTATAAAATTTGAATTTATTAATTGTGATTCGTGAGTTTATTTGAATTAGAGAGTGAATTTGAAAATTAAAAAAAAGGAAAAAAATGAAGTTGTTTATATTAAAGAAAAAAATAGAAATAAGTAAAAAGTAAAATAAATTTATTTATTATTTTAATATAATTTTTAATTAATTATTATTATTATAATAATATAAAAATATATATATTAAATAAAGACTTTTCGAATATAATCGATGGATAACGATGTAATCAATTATATATTTACTTATATAATGGATGACTTCGATTATGTTTAAAAAAATAGAAGAATATTTTTTTCAATTTCTATAATTTGATACCTAAAATTATGTGAAGTTTACGTATTTCTGCACCTCTCATTATCTGGAAACAAACAGGACTCAATGAATGGATTAATTGAAATACTAGCAACACATAAGATGCTTGCACCTAAAAAACAAAAGATAAGATGACACTGTCATTAGATTTGGTTTAACGTTTTGGCAGCAAGTGCAGTGTACATTAATAAATACTTTTTATATTGATTTTGTTGCTATGTCTATGGCTTCATATTCAGATTCTTTACGGGGAACTTTATTTTTTATTTTTTAAAACGATTCTAAGTTTTAATTATTTTTAATACTTCCAATTAATCTTTTTTTGTAATTACTAACCTGATTAAATGATAAGAGATTGTTTTTCTTCACAGGCCACGACCATTCTTTTTCTAAAATTAGATGTTGACATATTAGTCTGTTAATTTTGTATCTTCCAAAATAAATAATTAATTAAGATGTTATTAAAAAAAACACATTTTATCATAAATAAAAACTTTTTTAATCAATTCAAACATTTAACAGTATATAAAAAAGGAAATTCATCTATCCATCACCAATTTGTAAAGTAAGTTCATACAATTGTGTGGGTAAAAATTTCATTCCATTTTCAAAGTAATTACTAAAAAAAATGGTAAAAATTACATATTTGTAACCTTTATATATATATATATATATATATATATATATATATATATATATATATAAAAATAATGTATAGTATTTACTACACTATTTACTTGTATTTTTCAAACTGTGTTATCTTATTTTCTTTTCAAATGTAAATAATTAGTTTATGTAAAAAAAAAAGTACAGTTATGGATGGTTCATGGTTAGGCACTAAAAGTAACCTATAGAAGGTTAGATAAAATTTTCATGTTTATTGTTTGGTGGCATAAATTTGAGGTAAAAGTGTGAAGTTAGATTTAGTACATGTTTAATTTTTAGTTTGAAGACCCAAAAGTATGTTTGATCAGAAAGTAAAGTTGAAAAACAAAAACATGTGTTTGCTTTTTAATCAAGTAGGATTTGAAACTGAGCTTATCGTAATATGGCATGGGTAAACTGATCTTTTTATGTTTGGCATGTACCCTAAAGAGGTATTTGGCATGGAAACATTACCCTACCATTTGAAATTAGGACAATGTCAATGTCATATTTCGTGTGTGGCATTAAACTGACATAGATATCTAAATATCTTTAACCATTTTACTAATATTATCTTATCAAGTTCCTATCATTTTACAAGTGTAAATACTGGCCAAAATCCTTTTTTTTTTCTTCTAACAAATTATTAAAAAGTAAATTTCATGTATGTTTAGTAAGACCCCATTTACGATAGATGGGATATAAACAACATCATCAAGAAAATATATTGTTTACATTTTTTGATGAGTGATGTTGTTTTGATGTGCAATTTGTGTTTTTTGAAAATTTGTAGTCATTCTAAAGGGAAACCAAATCACATGTTTAGGCACCTAAGCTGCCAACCAAACCAAGTACCAATCTAACTTAGGCAACCATCTACACCACAAATGTTGAGGAGCCAAACCTCTCCTAAATGAAACTATTTGGTTAAAAGATAAAAGTCTAATTACGCTCTGTTTTCTTTATTTATATGTCAATTTGTGTCCAAAGTTTTTAAAGTCAGAGTTTTTCTTGAAATTTGTCTATAAATAAACTGGTTTAATGGTTGGCTTACTGCAATACCATTACTGGTCTCAGGTTAAAGAAAAGACAGACCCTTTGAGTGAGAGGGTGAGGTTGAGGTTCCGCTGATGGAGTTTGAGATTGAGGCACGACTAGTCAATGCTGATGATGGTCTAGGTAATAGCCATAGCCATCGGTGAACACTATGCATTATGCAATGACCTAGAAGAAGGGAAGGACCAATCAAATTCTGTGTTTTTATCCAATATTAGACTATACTGCAATAGTTATTTCACAACAAAAACCAGAAAGTTACCGGTTAAAATATTTGACTGTCAGATTAAAATATTATCATATCAAATGGTCTAGGATGATGTTTCAGCCATGCACTACCTACAGTGTAGTACACACTAATCTAACCAAAAAACAAGAGTAATAAAAATGTTATTTTTGAAAAGTTTGCGGTTGATTGTGCAGTAGAGTAGTGTCCACGTCAGATGTGCAGAATCCCTACACGTTAAATGTTCTTCTCAGTCCAACATTGCTCCCATGGACAGAGAGGCAGGACGGGGAGAGAGAGAGAGAGAGAAGAGAAAGTATGTGTCCGTGTGCATCAACAAAACAAGAGTTCTCTTCTACACTCAAACCACATAATATTAAGATCTGCGTAAACCAATAAACTAGCTCTCTCTCTCTCTCTCTCAAGCAGAGGGCATTGTCTACTGTTGTCACAGACATGGGTGAAGTAAGAGTTCTCGTCTACACTCAAATTCATACACACACATATTTTAAATCAATCTCTCTCTTTGCCTCTTCATCTTTCAGTGTATTCTTTCCCCAGTTATTCATAACTTTCTGCTGTTACAACCGTCTTTATCATCTTTTCTCAACTTTGCTGCTTCCAAGTTTCATTTTCCTTTCTCTAACTCTATGATTATGTGTCGTCTTCTTATTTAAATGCTGTGTTTGCAAAGGAAAAGAAGGAAGAAGTGAAGAAAGGAGAAGTCAAGGAAGAAAAGAAGGAAAAAAGCAAGGAAGAGCCACCACCGGAGATAGTGCTCAAAGTTGACATGCACTGCGAGGCCTGTGCAAGGAAAGTTGCCAAAGCATTGAAAGGATTCCAAGGTCATTTCCCTTCACCTTTCATCTATTCTGTTTCCTAATTACCTCACTTCTAACTATGAATGCATGCAACTATAGCTAGTTAGTTTGTGGGTTTAGCATCAGCCAGTATTTTTAGTTTCCCTCTCCTTTTATCCCTTATGAGGGGGATCAATTAAGTATCTACATGATTGCTTTTCAATTTCACAAAATAATGATGAGATAATTTTGTCTTAGATGTCCATTATTCATGTAGAGACAAAAGATCATGATTGCATCCATAGTTAACAAAGGTAAAGGTGTTTTAGGTGGTGGAAACGATTGAAGAAGTGGGGTTAACGTTCTAATCTAATCTAATCTGTTTTTTTTTTTTTCTGTGTGTGAAACAGGAGTGGAAGATGTGACTGCAGATAGCAGGACAAGCAAAGTGGTAGTGAAAGGAAAGGCAGCAGACCCCATAAAGGTGCGTGAGAGGCTACAAAAGAAAAGTGGTAAGAAAGTGGAGCTCATTTCACCGTTGCCAAAACCTCCAGAGGAGAAAAAGGAAGAAACCAAAGAAGCACCTAAAGAGGAGAAAAAAGATGAGGTAAATCTAAAATCATTCAACCCTGTAACTTCTTTTCTTGAATGTAATGAATATTCAGCATGCAGGATAAGATCTGCAGTACGGACAATCATTCTCATTGACCAACATTCGGTAAAAAAACTTTCAAAACAAGAACTAAAGTCTAAAAAGTTACAACACCAAAGTCTTGGTAAGTTGTTTGTTTAACTTGGAGTTTAAGAGGCACGTTGGTTGGCTTGCAGTGTGAGAGAGAGTAATTTGCATAGTGGGTTGTTTTTAGTGTTTTTGGTGTATTGTTTTGCGATCCATTCCAGGGTGAGTGCTGACATGAAAGTAACGAAACAAAGTGATGCCCCTCCGAAAGGCACACGTAACGAGGTGAACGGCGGTGACAAATGAGAGGGTTTGCCCCACTCACTTTTTGCAAATTGCAACTTGACATGCTGCTTTGCTGCAAAATGGGGTCACGGGTGCACTACACCTGGTTTTACCGTGTCCCACTTTCATGACATTCACTTCCACACACACACACATGACAGATCACTGATCAGTAAATAAATTTTGACACCACACAACCATGGTGACGTATGCTATATGGAGGTTAAAAGTTAAAACTACAGGCACTCGAATACAATGGATGACCTTGAGATTCACAAGGTCTGAACCAATATTAGTCTGCTATGCTGCTACTCTCTAATAGGGTGCCAAAAAGAAAATACTCGTGCATTAAATTATTGACACATTTTTAATAATACATCAATAGTATATTGGGTTCATATTTCTAAAATTGAGGTTTCCCCCCCCGGAAATTTCAAAATGGGGTGGGTTGGGGGTTGAATGGCCATAGGTTGCTAAAGTTTGCTTTTTGGTTTATTTTCTATTAACACTTGAAATGGAAGTTGGAAACCCCATGCCATGGCCCGTACCTGAATTGACACATTGTAAGGTAGTGGGACCATACAGGTGCCTCTTTCATAGTGTGACAAATACATGGTACATAAAAAATTCAGGAGAAGATCTATTCATTTTTTTTGTATTGAATGTTTGTTTTGTTTGTTCTTTCTGCGATGGTTTTTGAGTTTTAAATATGCATTTGGTTCTAATGGACACTGCTTTAGATTGACCAAAGTTATTTTGGATAGTAATCAATCTAATTCCTATGTTGTGGTTGTTTGAATTTCTGGTCAGCCTCCTTCTGTGGTAACAGTTGTGCTAAAAATTCGAATGCATTGTGAAGCATGTGCTCAAGGTATACAGAAGCGAATCCGCAAGATTAAAGGTGCAAAGATTCATATAATCTCTTTCTTAATTTCTCTATTTCTGCTGCGTACTATTTCACTCGTGCACTAACAAGTACAAAGAACACGTTTTGGATGAATTCAGCTAAACTAAATCCCAGGCCCTACAAGAGTTTGTGCCTTTCAATCATTATTTCGTATCATGATTACTAATTACTAATGACCTACGAAAATTCCAACAAAACTGCAGTTCATGATTAAAAGAGAGACTTTAATGGCCCCTTTTATTTGATTTAACGCCTTTCTCTTCCCAAGTTCATGGAATCTTATATCCACAAGAAAGATGCTAATAACATACTTTTTTTATATTTTCTTTTTTTGACAAACTTTTAATTCCTAGAATCTCATGATACCGCCTTTAGTTCAGCGCGAGCGATGTTTTTGAGTAACGCAGATAATATGGTATTGAAAAAAGGAGAAGGTGTTGTGGATTTTTTTATAGTTGGAAAGTACTGTATAAAGTTATCATTTTTAGCTCAAAAATGAAACCACATGATATTAATCCTCCATTCTCAAATAAAATGTTGCCATTCAACACGTCTGTCATTTTTCAATACCTTTTCTTGAACTTTGCTCTTCTCCCTTTTCTTCAACTTCAAATAACAGTTATTTAAGAGTGGAGGGAGCAATCTATCTCATGCAGAAACATGATACATAATTTCGGCGGCAAATTGTATTTTAAAATGCCCTTACAGCTTATATAACTACTTTGGACATGACTCCGAACATAATCAAAGAGTGATTAATCTTAAAACTTCTTTTATTCATCTGGTATTAAAATTATTATTCATCTAGGGGAAATAATACGCTTGTATCAATAAATGTTTGCCTCTATGTTTTGTTGTTGCACCCTTGATTGATTCCATGAATAGAGGAGTGAATGATTGGTACGTGGTTTGAGACATAGTAATAACGTGTATGTGCAGGAGTGGAATCCGTGGAAACAGATTTGGCAAATGATCAAGTCATCGTAAAAGGTGTGATCGACCCTGCGAAGCTTGTTGATCATGTATATAAGAGGACCAAAAAGCAAGCCTCTATTGTGAAGGACGAAGAAAAAAAGGAAGAAGAAAAGAAAGAAGAGGAGAAAAAGGAAGAGAAAAAAGAAGGTGGAGAAGAACATAAGGGAGAAGAAGAAGACAACAAAACTGAAATCAAGCGAAGTGAGTTCTGGCCAGCCAAAAACTACATCGACTACGCATATGACCCTCAGTTTTTCAGCGACGAGAACCCAAATGCATGCTCTGTTATGTAAACCAGCAAGTATCGCAGTTAGAATGCTAATTAGCTGAAGTAATTTTCTTTTCAATGTTGTTATAGCTTGTTGCTAAGAATATGTAGCGGGGTGAGTAGTATATTCCTTCCTTTCCATAGCGTCTCTCAAAGCTAAATGTCTTGTTTCTTGTGCTTTTGAGGTTTCAAGTACTATATTCCTTTGAAAAGGTGGGTAGAAGTGCTTCAGTTGGTGCACGTGTTATCATGCTTCACTGAATTTTGGCCTAAAATCTCTTTGCCCATGAATGTTGACGTTGAAAATTGCATGGAATCGTTTCTCTCAAGAATTTTCAGCAAGTAGCACTATTATCCTGTCAATTTACAAAATTTCTGTCTTCAATCTATATAGTCTTCATTCAAATTACCTTGTCATCACTTATCTCTTTCCAATCACGAGAACTCTTTCAGTGGTTGATCACGGTTCACACAAGGATGAATCTGTTGCAAAGTGACAAAGGTATTGTGTCATCATTAAATAAGGATCATCAACAGGGAAGGTTAGGTAGGCTATCCGAAACCCGAAGACAGACATGGCTCCTACACACAATTTTCTATGTTGACCTCCTTTAAGTTTGTCTGGGTGAGATTTGACCAGACACTTCATCTATAGACGTTCAAAATGTTGACACAACTATAATTGGCAGAACTTATAAAGCTTAGAACATGAGGCTTGGCTTAGTCTCAATTTCCCAATCAGCATATTATTATTCTCTTCAAGTGGCGCATTACATCACATATCATTACGGGTTAAGACTTGAGACAAAATATTAAATGGCCTACCTTGTTTCTGTCTGTGGCCTGAGATTCCAAGATCCACTTCTCATCTAAGGAAATGATGCCCTTGCATGTTGACCTAGAAGCTTAAATCCTGCTCTAGATTGAGGTAATAACTAAGGATCTGACACTCTCTCAGTCCTTTTAGGCCAACACTACCCTTGCAGCTAAAACTAAGTAATCAGTACAAGTGGTGATCCTGTGATCAGAATTTGTGACCTGCCTCATTTCAGATTTCATATAATACTACACTGCTTAACATATAGTGCAGAGGCTTATATGTAGTGCATGGTACAGTGGTATATGTAGGCTGATATCGTCAGAGGAAGTAGTGCACCTTATCTCCTGGTTTTGGGTAGTGGGTTGTGGCAGTACATGTATATACTTGGACCGCTGGGCATTTGTTGAACTACATGTACACAGTAGACAATGAAGTCCGAGACAAGCACGGGCATAGAAAAGGAGAGTGGTTCAGGTCCTAATCGCGCACACACTCAGATATTGGAGTTGTGGTACCATGACTCAAGACAGAACAGAATAAGGCCAAAGGTAGACTAGGTGCTATGCACATCTTAATGGCCTTCCCTTTGTGTCACAGCTTCCTTTCAAAGATTTTCCTTTGAAAAAGAAACCCACTTCCCTTTGAAAAAGATTAAAATGAATGGACTAAAAAGAGAATTTAGCCAAAAATTATAGATAGTAAATTAATGAACTAATTACTATGCAAAAAAGGCAAAAATATTTTGAATAAAAACTAGATTTCTTTGATAAGAACTACAACTCGAATTCAAAGATGTTTAAAATCTGCAGAAAATTTTCAAATGCAATCACAGAAAAAACACAATTAAATAATTCTAAGAATGTCTAAATTACATGGTAAATTTGACATCTGACCTCTTTTTTTTTTTGGCCTAGAAGACACTTTTTGGATATGATATGTAGAGAGAATCAAAGAAATTTTCAAACTTCCTAGACATAATAATACTGATACCTGCATGAACTTTGAGTGATGTGGCTAAAAAGCGTATTGCAGAAGGTATGGAATCCATGCACTTCAAAAGTTTATTTAGCCTCATTCTCAATGCATCTAACCTCATTGTTGAGCCCACTTCCACAACTAACAGCAAAAAAGAAGGAATATCACCTTGATATCAGGAACACAATATGCAAAAGCAACGGGCAAAAGTTGAGAAATTATTATGATAATGAGCAATTTTATTCAACTCAATAACAGTATACACAATGACATTAGATGGGAGATTCTAAATTTAGAAAAACTATTGTAATTAATTGTTTTAAATATTTAAACACACTTACTATGGGTCTCCTGAACTAAAACCTAAGGTGGGAACTCTAGAATGTCGCTCCCATGTGATGTAACAAAAACTATAAAACAATTATGAGTGTGGGTCAGGGATGATAAAGTTGTGGATCGTATCGTAGAAATGGGCCAAACCATGATGCCCTAATAGGCCTTCAACCTTTAATAATCTATTCTAATGGAAATGCTTCTACGAATAACTAATGTGGTGTTTTTGTCCCTTCACGAATAATTCATTGTCCCCCTTCTTCACTGATAACTAATGTGAATTAATAACGGACACACTCGTTGATTCAAATCACGCACGACATAAAAGAAATAATAATAATAATGACCCAAGTGGAGTCTAGTCTAGTCTTGTAGGTTGTGCTTGTGCCCTACGTGCAGGGTCACCAAAACAAGCACAAGTTTCATTTTGGAAACAATGTTAGTGTTATACCTAGATCCGTACCATTACTTTGGTTTAGGGTTTTGTTTGGAATTGCCTATTTTCTTCTTAGACAATGATAACAACCTTTGTTTTCTTCCGGTTGCTGACAACTTTAAATTATTATATTGTTGTCGAATAATGTAACAAAAATTGGTTATATATCCATACATACATGATAACAAGTTAAAACATGTTTCTTCATACTAGTTGTCTTAAAACATGTTTTGAAAAACATTCGAAATAATTTTAAACATTTAATATGATGATGCATTTTAATAACATGCACCTCATCAACTCCAAACATGTACTTATAATAATGAATTTGGATCTATCAAAACAAAAATAATGAATTTAGAAAGGTCTCTAAAAGAGGACCCGTGAATGTGGTTGGTGCAAGGTCAATGACTTCGAGATTAGGACAGTTTTTGGCCTTTGGTGTGAAACCAAGGAAAAAAAAAATTCTCAATAATTGAGCCCGAGAATCTTAATCCACATTCATATCAACGTATCAGATATTTTAGTCAATTTCATACCACATCACACTGTTATGGAATTCCATTAATCTGTCTCCATTTTATGTTTTTATTTGGTGAATTTGAACCATTTGGGCAAAGGAAATCTTTTATGAACTTCCTAAACAATTTACAATTCTCGAATTTTTATAACATGGCAGTGTATATCTCAATTTATTTACTTAAATTTGATTTTGATAAATATCTTTTTATACTCACTTTGTAGCTACCACATCACAATACTAAGTAATTTTTGGCAACTTTTTCCCATCTAATTAAATTGGTTACATACAGAAATGTAGGAGAGAGAAAATGACAAATATTCTAAAGAATATCGGGTCTAAGTCAAAATATATTACAAGAAAAACTTCAAATAATTTTTTTTAAAAACAATAATTGAAAGATTGGATTCTAAGAAACAAAAAATTCCCAGGAACCAAATACCCAAATCAAATTGTTGAAAGTGCAAGTTTTGGAAGACATATTATGTTCAACGTCAATTGGTCCTCCTATGTTTGACATGTGTAAAAGAAAATTTAAGTTTTTCTTCAACCCACTTGGTTATTAATTATGTCCCGAAGGCAATTACTCTGATGGTGACAGAAGAGAAGAGAAGAATCGAATATGACCTCTTCTATTTTCGCCACATATATACAAATAAATTTTTTAAAAACATATTGAGGATATATTTCGCAAAGTGAGACATAATAAACGAACATGAGTCCACGTACGTGAGTTGAACAAACTTAATATGAGGTCCTTGGTGAGCTAGTTAAAAAAACATGCGTTTAATATTATAACCTTTTTTATATATATATTTTTTCTTATCGATAGATTATTTACTTTACCTTATCTATTGTTTGCACATTAATTATAATATTAAAACCGTAAGTAAGTATAATCAAGCGTGGTTAAAGAAATTTGATATCTATTGTAAATTTCATTATAGAAGGAAAGAATGTGATTGTAAAAAAGAGACTTCATTAATATTACACTACTGGTTTCAATATGTTTTATTTTAATATTACATTATTCGTTCTAATCAGGACACTCTTTATTCATTTAATAAAAAGAAATCTCTTGATAACAATGGCAACAATTAAAAAATATATATAATTACCTAAAAATATTTTATTTACAAAATCGATTATAAAAACGCCTTTTATGTTAATTTTCATTTAATAGTTAGTTAGTATAACAATGCGTCTATTGCAAATAACAACTTTAAGTCAATTTGGTCTTAAAAATACAGGCTGTAAAATAAACATAACCATACATTTATTTGATTTTATATTTATAAGATCGATTTTTTGCGGTGAGCGTGTATTTAAGATCCATTTAAAATATCCTTAGACTCTCTTTGACAGAATTAAATATTCTAGGTTTCATAATTAAATTTAATATAAAAAAATATTCAAAGCTTGTTATCTGGTAAATAAAACACATTAAATAGTAGTATGAATAAAGTAATGCAAATAGTAATATTTAAATTATTAGAAAAAAAATATGAATATACGAGTAAGAGAGAAAACGATGGAGTATGTGGAGGTAGAAGAAGAAGAAGCGTGAGCAATTTCAGTTTCCCCACTTTGGATGGCGTAGGCATGAGAACATGTCAAACAACGCAATCTCTTCACTATTGGGACCGTATTTATGTTGTTCAAAGTTGAAACTCAAATTCATTGTCGAGAGCAATGTTTTTCTATGTTTATTCTCTCATTTTTCATCCCTAAGTCACTTTAACGGGACCCTCCATTTCACTATCCCCTCTTTTTTCACTTTTTATATCTTTTTAAAGATAAAACATTATTTAGACAAAAATCACTTTTACGGTGTTGCTAAAAAGTGGTTTTCCGAAGCAAATGTATTACCTGTGAAAGAAAATAAATATTTTCAATGAAAAACATTTTTTGTGACTCAAACTTGTAAAAGTATTTTCCGTGGTATAGCAGTGTCACTCACTTGTTTTCCGTGTTATCAATTAAATTATTATTTGTACACAAAATGAAGTCAAAATTGAATCTTACAAAGTAAAGATGATGCAATCATCAACCATAATCTCAGTGTCTCACTGCAATCATCAATAAGTAATAGTCGCTTTTGGTTAGATTTTGTTGCTTGCACGCAGCACACGGGCTTTCTAACCCACGTGGCAATGACGTGTTTAATACATATTGCCACGTCTTCATTTAAACTCCGGGTGGAACCACAGAAGCCCAAACGCCGTTAGCTTATTGGAAATACCCGATCCTACGTGTACAGTTACACCACCGTAGGTTTTCTCCGTAACGTGCCAGAAGCATTCAACCATGCGAAAACACACGCTTCATGATCGTAACCTTTTTCCGCCACTTAAACTCGTATTTCAAATGTGACTTATCTCAATAAAAGAAACTTAACACTAAATATGTTAAATTAAATCAATAATATTTTACCTTATAATTTAAGTTAGACATAATCAATTTCATAAAATTTAGCATGTGTTAAAAATTATCTTTTATTTATATATATCTTTATAAAATAAATGTGATCCTATACTTTTTCAATAATATAAAGTTTGAATGTTAAGAGGTATTATATAATATATTATATAGATAAATTGTTCACCATTGATCACTGTCGTTGGAAATCACTGTTGCCATAGTTGTAATCAACTTTTTTTCTCTCTTTATTATTTCTGCCACAACATAATATCATTCTTTGAAATTTATCCAAGAAAGTGATACAATTTTTAATTATTCAAAAATAATGGCTAAATTTTTTTAAGTCAATAATATGGTGGATTTGTTTATTAATTTTTTTCATTTATTTAAATAATATGAATAAAATGTTCATAGAACCCTTTCATGACGTTCGACTAATATTCATCTTTTTCATTTCATATTTATTTATTATTTTTTCTTTTAAGTGGATGCAAGTTTTTCTTGTAATGATCATTTTTCCTTACTTATGGCTAAAAAATATATTTTTTATTTGATCCATATTTAATATTTTTTAAGTTATCTCGCTTTATAGTACCGATTAATTAAATATGTATAAATTTGATCCATGTGATGTATTTTTAAGGAAATTTATTAAAATATGAATAAATAGCGATTATTCCACTATAATAAAACAATTAAAAAGGATGTGTGGTGTAATTTTAAACTTCGAAAAAAAACCGAAATTGGAATAAATTAAATTTTACCTTTTTAAAAAAAATATTTGTTTGTAAAATTCTTTAAAAATATAGTCCTACTTAGATAATTGGATAAAAAACTATAGTTAATTGTATAAATATATAATCCATAACGTATTTTAAAAATACTCTCTTTATATATATATATATATATGTATATATATATATATACACACGTGTAAATAAAAATTACATTAATTATCACTTCACATATGATAAAAGGTCTTTATAAATTTATGTTAACTATTAATCGTCTTTTTAAAATTTACTGAATTATTGTTTTTTAAGTATAATATTAATATGAATTATTCATTATTTAACATTATTGAATCCTACTAATTTATTTATTTTTATATAAAATAACTGTTAAAAGTCATATTATTTTATATAAAAAATATGGCCTAAAACACATCTAAAGTAGAAGACTTTAGTTATTTTTCAAATATCATTTTCATTGATTTTACACAATGTTAATTAGCTTGCCTATGTGTTGATATAAAAATTAATTTTTACATTTATAAATATAAAGTTTAAAGCATTAAAATTGAACCTACCAATGAAATTAATAGTTTTATGCAATTTATACTGATTTTAATTTAGTTTTCAATGTTTAATTTCTCTACTTTTTTATGATAAAATAAAACCCTTATTCCTGTCCTCTTCAAAACATGGAATTTCGGGGTTATTTATGGTAACTTAGATTTTTAAATTATGCCTAAATTTAACTAATTTTCATATAATATACATAATTTTGACTAGTTTTTTGTGTGTTAAAATTTAATTATTTTTTTAATTCCCTGTATGACATCATAAGTGAAATAAATGGGATGGAGATGAGCACTTGTGATGAAAAGATAATTTTTTTTCTTTTTTCAGTGGAATGCATCACTCAACTGAAAGGTATGATAATATTATTTACTTCTATAATAATGACTTTTCGCTTATAAAATAAATGACGTTTCAATAATAATAATAATAATAATAATAATAATAATAATAAGTTATATTATACAATTGTGTAGGATTTCAATAAAATATTATTTCTTTGACTCATCTGTAAATTTGATTCTTTAATTTTCATCCATAATTTTGTTCTCCGTTTTTTTTCCTTGATTTTGATTTTTATATTTCATAAAATTTGTATATTGTTCCATTTCTCTATATAATTGAAGATTAAAGCAAAATTATAAATTTTTTAAATATAGAGACTAAAAAGTAAAAGAAAAATAAAATAAAAACCCTTTATACAAATTAAAGAGAGATTAAAAATATAATTTAATCTGACTTTCATTTCTAAATGAATAATAATGTTGTTTTCTTTGTTATTGCATGGGTTCACTTCTCAGCAATTGACATTAACCCTTTCAATAATTTATTTATATTATTTCAACTTTTTCATGAAATCTTGAATGTTACTTTATTTATTTATTTATCGTTTTTTTTTAATTTATTATCCATCAAGAATATAATAATTATGCATATAATGATAATATTTTTTATTATATTTATAGTAGAAAAAATTAAAATAAATATGATTTTTTTGAAATGAAATATTAAAATGATAAAAATACTCTGAAAAATTAATAAATTTATTATAAAGTATAAAATTTAATATTTTCTTGTGTAGTCAAATCTTAAATATTATACAATAACTTTTTTTAAAGTGATAGTAATATAAATTTCTTTGCAATGTTATACATGCATATTAAATTCCATAAATCATATCCATTTATAACTCTTTATGAAACACAATATCCATGCCCAAGATATTCAAGTCAACACTAATTAGAAACTTATATAGTATAATATAATATAAAATGTTTGATTAGAGTAACTTTACATTTTTTATATAATATAATGATATAATTTAAAAAAAAACTTTAAGAAAAACAAAAAATTATCAGGGCATAAGATCTAAACAAATTATAAATATTTTCATCACTTTATTTGGAACCAGTATATATGAATGGATAAAAACCAAGTTAACTAGTATGGTTTATTAATTTTTAAAATGGATTTAATTCACATTAAAATACAATATGAGAAGCAAAATTATAAACATATTTTGACAAACAATGTTAAATTCACTATGATAATAATAACAAAATAATAATAATAATAATAAATATTTTATATTTAGAATAAAATATTATTCAACAATTTACAAAAAATATATATTATCATATCTTTATGCTATTGATTTTTGCTATGTCATTATTTTAATGTAAATAAAATTATAAATTTAGTATTTTTGCATGTCTAGTTTACAAGTGTATAATATTTTATTTTTCACATTTAATTGATGATTATATTTATAACTTTTTACTAAAAAGAAGACATTTGAGAGTAACCACGTATAGACAAGATCATTGGAACATGATGAACTTTATGTTTCATCACCGTACACTTGTAATTGTTACAACCATTTCAAAACTTTCATCCCCAAAAGTTGTCACTTTAATTCCAAAATGCTTATCATTGGACTATTATACTACTAAAAAATTAGTTTTTTTCTACCAATTTTTTTTGCAAAAATTTTTTTAAATTAAAAAAAAACTTATTTCTTACAATTTTTACCAAAATTTTATAAAAATATTTCCATAAAAAATAAGAATTTTTAGTAGTATTATAACATTCCTTTCATTTTTTTTTCACTAACTAAAATATATAACAAAAAAAATATTAAAGTGACTATATATATATATATATATATATATATAAAAGAGTATCATGAATAAATAAATAACATTTTTAACATTTGTATCTATAAGTCGTACGTGATTATATCGTAAGATATTTTTTCGAGTCACATACAGATGTCGGGGTTCTTTACAATATATGGTTTAATTAATTTTTGTAATAATTAAACAATGATATCTTAATAAATAATAGAAAAATTAACTATTTATATAAGTATAAAAAAAAATCTAAATAACATGTTTATATAAATAAATAAAAGAATTGAATTCATAAAAAAAAACGTAAAGTAAGTACTTCTATTTTATTTATGTATCAACATGGACTCCACTAACGTCTCATGCGTAGAACATGAGTCAAGCACGAGGTTTGTTCCATTTTGCTGACGTGGTGTTTGACCTGTTGTCTGATTTGGCACCAACGTTGCCATGTGGGCCCTATTCGCCTCACGTGGTAGTTTCCCTTAGGACGCAGGGTAGAAGGTAAGTGTGTGACGCTCTTCTCGGCACGTGTCTTTCACACCACGCTGGTTAGTGCGTTGTGTAAAATGTTTACATTAAATGCATTTGTAATCTGCTATTAATAAAGTCATTATATGTTGTCAATTCTACCTTATTTGAAACGTAGAATTTTATATTCAGAAGAAGCTTTACTGTTATGAAATTTCATGTTGGCTTATACTTGTATTTTTATATATAAATAAATAAATAAATATTTAATTGTAATAAATATAAATTTTTTAAGTGAATATTAAGTTTAATAAAACTGTATATTTTAAAAAATTAAAAGATATTTATGGAGTGAAATTTATTTTTGACTATATCTTAAAATTATCTCAGAAATGAGGATAAAAAAGTCATTGTCTTCGCTGCCAAAGAAGTCTGCAGAAGTCAAGCGGTGTGGGAAATTAGTGAACAGTATATGTAAACACTGTTTCCATTTTATTAGTATTTAACATTATAGCTACCTGCTAAAAAATTCTAATTAAGCCCTCAAAATATTAAATTATGAGGGATAAATTGTGATTATCTGACTCTGATAAACATGATTATTAGTAATACGTCTCACATTCATTATCTTGAAATGAAAAATAACATAAAATGAGTCTCTGGGACATTTTGGGGATATCACATAAAATCTCACATTCCTTTATAAGGAGCGGTGAGGGACATTTGTCCATGTGTTAGGACAAACGAAAGAAAAACAGAGCAACTCTCACTCTCAGAGGAACAGAGTACTCTGTTTTTTCTCTCAGCTTATCTATCCATCTCTCATTCTCTTCCCACCCTTCACTCAATGGCGGCGCCCAAGGCCACCATGGCGGACGCTGAGAAGGCGGCCAACGGAGACTCTCCTCCGGACCGGTGTCCAGTGGAGGAGGTGGCTCTGGTGGTGCCAGAGACCGACGACCCATCACTTCCGGTGATGACTTTCCGGGCATGGTTTCTGGGAATAGCATCATGCGTGATCCTAATCTTCCTGAACACGTTCTTCACGTTCAGGACTCAGCCGCTCACCATCTCTGCCATTCTCATGCAAATCGCGGTTCTTCCCATAGGGAGGTTCATGGCCGCGACGCTTCCCACCAAAGAGTACGGCTTTCTCGGGCAGCGCTTCACCTTGAACCCTGGACCCTTCAACATGAAGGAGCATGTCATCATCACCATCTTTGCTAACTGTGGTGTGTCCTTTGGAGGGGGTGATGCTTACTCCATTGGCGCCATTACTGTCATGAAGGCTTATTATAAACAGAGTTTGAGCTTTCTCTGTGCCCTCTTTATCGTCTTATCTACTCAGGTTTCGCTTACTCTCTTCCAATTTGCATCTTTGCCATTTATTCATTCCTTTTCGATAAAGGGAGGAGGTGGAGCTTTTAGAAAGTGTTTTTGGTTTGGTAATATTATTTATTTATTTATTCCCTAACGGAACTTTTAAAGATAGTTATTATTTTTTTCTTGGGAAAAACCGATTGCCAAACAGTAAATTTTTGTGCTTGGAGAGTTTTTGGTGACGGGGTTGTTAGGAAATAAATAATTGACTCTGCATGGATATTTATTAAAAATTAAAATGAAGTCTGCCTTTGAGATCTGTGAAGATTGAAGGTTCTCTGTCATGCTTTTGTTTTTAATATTAAAATCTGTTTCTTCTGTATTTGTCTTGTTTTTCTTTTCTTTTGGAGCATATATTCTTTTCAATCTGCTTGTGAAATTTGCTTTTAAAACTTATTATAATTGTGAATGATTGAGTTGCAGATGTTGGGGTATGGATGGGCTGGGATTCTGAGGAGGTATCTGGTTGATCCTGTTGAAATGTGGTGGCCTGCAAACCTTGCTCAAGTGTCCCTCTTTAGGTTCATTCTAACTCTTTTTCTCAATATCACGTTTTATTAAATTCAAACTGGTTGCTCATACTTTTATTCATTAAGCTTTGATCAATTCCAACTCTCAAAACCAAGGAAAATTACTAAAAAGAGAAAACCTGCACTGTAAATGTACAATAGGAACGGTTTGAAAACAATTATTATAGTATTTTTTATACCATCAATGAGTTAAAAACCATAGTTATGACAAAAAAAACTGCTAAACTTATTATATTTGTTTTTGATGACTGTCAGTGATATTTGTTTTTGCCTAGTGCTAAGTGCTATGCTAACTAAATAATTGGAACTTTCCAATGAACTATTTAGCCTTGCGTTTACACATATTGTGCGACTAAAAAGTTCAGTTTAGCCAAATGAAGGCATAATATATGCAAAATTTTACTTTTATTCTTATCCTATAAACATAAGGGTGGTGGTGTTGCTGCAAAAGAATTTATACGAAGTTCAATCAATAAAGATAAATCGAATCAAGTCTGTCGTTGACTAAATTGACTGAGTTGTAATTTGTCATTGAAACTAGTAATTCCAAGCCTGTAACTGGAAAGGAGACTTTTATTTTAAGATCTGGTGCGCACAACCAATATACCAAAAATGAAGTTGTAAATATGGTGCAACCATGCCACGAACTAAGCGCATCTTCACTGTTGAAAGGATCATAGAACGAGTGGTCTTGTCATATTGTTGTAATATTCCCTTTGCAAGTGATCATAACATTGAAAGTGAAAAAGGTTTTATATTAACACTATGTTGTTGTCAATGTTGCATTGGGAACTGTAGAATTCACCTATAGCCAATTATTTAGTATATTCTCCAAAAGAGATTACGCAACAGCAGACCCAATTTTTTTTTTTATTAAAGGTTCTTCTGTTTGATCGTTTATTATTATATCCTCTAATGTTACTTTTGATTACATCATTAACCTTATGCTACAGGGCACTCCATGAAAAGGAGGAGAAATCAAAAGGTTTTACAAGGATGCAGTTTTTTCTCATTGCCATGGGTGCAAGCTTCTTGTACTATGCACTTCCTGGTTATCTGTTCACGGTCTTAACATTCTTCTCATGGGTATGCTGGGCATGGCCAAATAACATGACTGCACAGCAAGTTGGATCAGGTTATCATGGACTTGGGATTGGTGCCTTCACAATTGATTGGGCAGGGATTTCAGCCTATCATGGCAGCCCCCTTGTTTCACCATGGTCTTCCATTGTTAATGTGGGAGTTGGATTTATCATGTTCATCTACATAATCGTACCTGTGTGTTACTGGAAGTTCAACACTTTTGATGCCCGAAAGTTTCCTATATTTTCTAACCAGTTGTTCACGTCCACTGGACATAAATATGACACTACCAAGATCTTAACCCGGGAGTATGATCTTAACATTGATGCCTACAACAAATACGGCAAGTTATACCTTAGTCCTCTCTTTGCATTATCAATTGGATCGGGTTTCGCGAGATTTACGGCTACCCTCACTCATGTAGCACTGTTTTATGGCAGGTAGGTTACTGTCAAAGCTTTTAACACGATCTTATCTCTTATATGATAGCATGAAGTCTCTTTGATATATGATCATATTTATAACCAACAGTTTCTGCGGAATTCTGAATGGTAGTTGTATATATGAATCTAGCATTTGTACATGTTAGATATGGAAATGGATCAGAAGACTCGTACTAATCCATCTCAATTTTCATCCATGTATTCTCTTTTTAGAATAATTTGACACTGAAATGGTTTCCTTATCCCAGAGATATTTGGAGACAGAGTAGATCCGCATTGAGTAACGCCAAGTTGGATGTCCATGGTAGACTCATGAAGGCTTATAAGCAAGTACCTGAATGGTGGTTCCTCCTTATATTGTTTGGGAGCATGGCACTATCCCTGATAATGGCCTTTGTGTGGAAAACGGATGTGCAACTGCCATGGTGGGGTATGTTATTTGCTTTTGGTTTGGCTTTTATTGTAACCCTCCCAATTGGTGTCATTCAAGCAACTACCAACCAGGTACCATCTCCAATATTCCTGTCCCCTCCACTATTATTTTGAAGCAAAGTGGGAAGGTAAAGAGATTAACATTTTAACACGAGTTTGTTTTTTTATCATGTGGCAGCAACCTGGATATGACATTATAGCACAGTTCATGATTGGGTATGTCCTTCCTGGAAAACCAATTGCAAACTTGCTCTTCAAGATTTATGGGAGAATCAGCACCGTCCATGCTCTCTCTTTCTTGTCAGATCTCAAACTTGGCCACTACATGAAAATTCCTCCGCGATGCATGTATACCGCTCAGGTCTTTGCAGCTTCAAATCTCCTATTCCAACTCCTTTCACACTACAATTTTTTTTTTTTTTTCTAATTACTTAATTCATGTTGCCTTATAATTTCAAACAGCTGGTGGGAACCCTTGTTGCCGGTGTAGTGAACCTTGCAGTGGCTTGGTGGATGTTGGATAGCATCAAGGACATATGCATGGATGATAAAGTTCACCATGACAGTCCTTGGACATGCCCCAAATACAGAGTGACCTTTGATGCATCTGTTATATGGGGTCTGATTGGACCAAAGAGGCTATTTGGACCCGGTGGACTATACAGGAACCTTGTGTGGTTATTCCTGATTGGAGCAGTGTTGCCAGTTCCTATTTGGGTGTTGAGCAAAATGTACCCTGACAAGAAATGGATACCACTGATAAACATACCAGTTATAAGCTATGGCTTTGCTGGAATGCCACCAGCAACTCCTGCCAATATTGCAAGCTGGCTACTGACTGGAATGATCTTCAATTACTTTGTGTTCCGCTACAACAAACGTTGGTGGCAGAAGTACAATTATGTATTATCTGCAGCACTGGATGCAGGCACAGCTTTCATGGGCGTTCTAATATTCTTTGCCCTGCAAAATTCTGGCCATAATCTCAAATGGTGGGGAAGTGATTTGGACCATTGCCCATTAGCCACTTGCCCAACTGCACCTGGAATTGAGGTTGATGGGTGTCCAGTATTCAAATAGAGAAGAACCATAATGGGTTTAGCCTTTTTCTTTTTATGTTTGTTAGGGGTGGGGACAAAGCCAAGCTTCGAGTACAGCTAGAGCCTATGTAGGATGAAAGTGAAAGGAATAACCAATTCTGTACATGCTTGCTTGTCATTGTGGAGGAGGGTTTTCGGTTTTTTTAACCAGTCTTATATATGCTTCATCATAGAAATACGTTTTTTTTTGGTAATGGCACAGAGTATGGCTTGAACAAATTTATCTTTTCACACTTTAGAAACTATTAGACATGGAATTGCAATTTTGTGGCCGTTGAAGAAAGAGAGATGCTTAGAAGTGGCGTGGAATCCAATTCCATAGAGAACAAGATGCTTGTAATCTCAAATGAGATGCCGTGCCGCTGTTGTAACTCATTCCATTGGTGGAGAGGTTTTGTTCCCTCTTTTCCATACTTGTAGCTATCCTTGCTTCTTTCCCTTCTCACATCCCCAAACCCCTCTTCAAAATCAACTCTTGACCACGTTTTAAGTTTTAAAAACAGCAACTTCTACCTACTAAAATATCAAAATAAATAAAAAAGGAAAGGGCATAGTTAACACATTTCTTCTAAAAGATTAAAACTTGTTAGAAAGTATAAAATTTTATGCGTGACTCGGTAGAAAAGACTCATTCCCGAATATTATTTAATCATGACTAAATGTTATCCTTCGAATTTGTAAGTGCCACTGTTATATTGCAGGTTAGATCCGTAGTTTCTCTAAACTTGCATCATATTAAGTTACCAAGAAGTGAACTATAAAACTTAATTACACTGTATTATTATAATATACAAGTGAAAAACCTGACTTTTTTTTCTTTTTAAAATCCAAAGAAAATTCCTAACCACCACTAAGGACAAATTTTGCCACTCAAGATCTTGATCATTAATATTCAACTTTGCCAGTCCTTAACAATATCCCAATTCCCAAATGAAAAATTAAAACAAAAAGTTTTAGTATTAGAATAACTTCCATTTAACACTGCAGACGTGGATTCTTGGCAGAGAAGGGTACAAAAAGAGCTTCACTGGCTTTTTAAATAGCAGAAAATGTGTTCATGCATTTCTCAAGAAGAGGAGAGAATCCATATCTGGAAATCACATTTGAAGTTTCCACGGGCTTCATTCAATTTTTACAATTTCCAGTTGTGACCCATTTTCCAAAAATATGAAATATAAAGCGCAAACAAACAAATTGCAAAACATGTTTCCAGCAATTCTCAGATTGAAAAGTAAGCAGCGAGCATTGTGTTTTATTCGTATTCAAGCTTTCAATAAACGCTATCCCATAATAGCATGCGCATAAAGTGACAGCTTTTTTTTTAGAACTGACAGACCAATATTTATAATTTTAACCTTTTAAACTTTAATATATTTATTTATATATTTACAATTTTATTTTTGTAGTCTTCTCTTTAATTCTGTAACTTTCACGTAATTTAATATTTTATTCTTCTAAACTTAATAATTATTTTATATATTTATAATTTTATTCTTATACCTTTTAATTTTTTTTCATCTTTTTATATTTATTTATTATTTTTTAATAATATAATATGTGACTCTAGAATCATTAATCAATAATGAAGATGCACCTTATATAATATTACGACAATAGAGGCAAACATGAGTGCACGTGTAAAACGGTGGCCAATATATTTAAGAATAATAAAAAAAAAAATTCTTATCTCCCAGCAAGAAGATAAAGAGAAAAAAGAAGTTCAGTTATACCACCAGATGTCAATTCAAAGTAAACGAATCATCTGACGAAAAAACGAATCCAAAAAATCCTTAAAATAGAGCACCAAATTCAACCATCAGGGTACGCAAGAAAATTAGAAAATAAAAATAGGGAACGGAAAATGCATATGTGATAAGAACCTCTTCTAAATTATTTTTATACTCTGGATCACTCAACCAAAATTCCTAGAGAACACCACCAAATAATTAAGAGAGTTGGAACTAAATCATTGGATGATTGGCCATGAAGCAATTGCATTATATATAATACAATCTCGACTTTTAGTGATCCTTATGCAGCTTTCCATTTCTCTCTTATAACTATAACTAGGTGAAGCTCTATAAACTAATAAAAGACGTTAAAACTGTTTTACATACGATTTACCTCACAACGACTTGTACAATACCACAGTGACGTATTTGGCTAAAAATCGATGAGTTGTACCAAGACCAACAACGGTAGGACTGCTCTTTCCTTTTTGCGTGTAAAGATGATTCAGCACTGCATGTTGAGGTCTTGACATAGGAGGTTGGATTTCCATATTTGTTGCAGGCACATTTAGCAGTGTCATTTGCAAAAGTGGAGGAACAAATGGTGGCTCCTTCGCATAATCTTCAGAACTAAGCTGTGAGTTATCATAACTTGACTCTGGTGACTGAGGAGGATCAAAACTAGAAATGCTTCCGATGTCTTCAGGAATATAATCCTACACATATATTATATAACTTTGTTACTCTCAATTCAGACATCAATGGCTTCTAGCAATAAAAGGATGCAAGCATTTAATTTATGCATGGAGGATATGCTACAAGATTTAATTATTGGCCGGCTACCGTTCATGTGTTACTTCAGTGCCATGAGAGCATTTAAAAAATAAGTGGCTATGTAAAAATAAAATATCAGAACACTTGATACGGAAAACTATTCTACAGCAACCATCACAAAAAACAATTCTTGCACATCCAAGGTTGCTACACTATAATATAAGAAGATTTCGACAGTTATCTAGTTAACAAGTGAAGCAAAAGTACAACGAGGCTAGAAGTAGAAGGGGTCAACGCGTCTTGACCCCTTTTTATATAATAATAATAAAGAAAGACTCTGAAATACCACCCATCTAATCTAATTTACAAACTGTTCTAAGACCAAAAAAGAGAGAGAAAGCAAAATGATTTCGATGATTGAATTGAAATGAACAAAGGACACAAGTTTCTTCTTTAGGGGTTTCCTTTTTTATAGCCAATTCTCAGTTTACAAAATAATAACAGATCAAAATCCCCAGTTCCCTTATATCCTCTTAGCTATCTCATAAAGCCCTCCTTCTAACTAATTACTAATAACCAACCGACAATACATAATACCTGTCGACAATACAGAATACCTGTCCTAACTTCCAAGTTCCAACGCAAATATTTTATGTATCTTTGGTGGCAGTGAGGTGTTAAAATAGTTAAAAGATTAAGAGAATTACTAGTGGTCTCTTGGCACTGTTGGGACTCTTACCAGCAAGTAGCACAGGGAATTGTAAATTGAACATCACAATCTTGAATATTTACTATGAACGTTATGTTTGAGTAGTTTAAATTGTTAATAAAGGCAAAATAGTTAAATATTTCACTATTTCTCCTTCTAATTTTAAAGCCTTTCTATAGTAAGGAGTGTGCTTTCTTGTGACTCTCGCTTCAAGTTGTTAAAAGAACCCAGTACCTTTGTCATTACCACTTTGAATAAAAAACATTTTCTTGATTATTACATAATTAACCAATTTGACTTTTATCCTAGCAGGAGAACAGGACAAAATTCAGTATTTACTTTTTCTCTTATTCCCCTGACCCCCTTCTTCTCAAAGTTTTTTTTTCTGTTACTGCCCTCAAGACTATGACCCAGTCATTCTATAGCACTTCACTTGAACAAAGATCGATCAAAAGTCCATTTCAAGTGGATTCCATGTCAAAATAGTGATCATTATGTATTGATAAAAAAATAAACAGGTATGCTGAATCTAAAACTTTACAAATTTTTGTTTAGTACTTATCCAAAATCTTAAACACTGATGACTTCAGTAGTCTGTAGAAAGGGGAATTCAAAGCTTTGTGTCCTCTATGCAAGATTAGACACATCTAAGGCACAGAGTAACAAGAATCCAATCTATTAGTATGGATAATCATCATCAAGCAGTGTTAGCCTCGAAAAGAAATAGAAAAACACAAGTTATCTTCTCAGAAGCCCAGCTGAATTCCCTTCACAAGTCAATGAATGAAAAGTATTCACCCAGGACAACAGTTATGCTAGACATTGAAAAAGCAAATCCCTGAAATGATTTTTGGATCATATGCATCTGAAACAAATTTATTACAAGAAGATAAATGAGATGCAATCAAAGGGTGTGAAAATGAAGAAAATAAAAGCCTCCAGGGAGAAAACTCAACCGAGGTCTATGTTAGACCAAAAACGGGGCACTAGCTCCAAAGAAAAATGAAAATGGACAAAGGTTTCCTACTTTCAAAGGAGAGAAAAGTGCAACTTACTGAAAACTGATTAGGCTTGCCCTTTACAACTTATTGATTTATATTTTTGCACAAGTCCATGCGGTTAAATTAATGATCCTTAACATAAGCATAATTATTTTCTCAAAACAACATATTAATATGCATATAATAACACCCTAACATTTCAATTTTGTTTGAGTGCAAAATATGTCACTATATATGAAATAATACCTGTAAGTCCAAGATGTTGTAAGCATTCCCAGCATCATCTTGGGCCCACGGCGAGTCTGGTGTATATCTCTTCCGTCCATCCACGATAAATCTATACTGGTAAACCCCAGATGGCAATACCTTCATTATTGCAAAGTCTTTCCCTGATCTCTGCAGGAGCATTCTGATGGACAAGGAATATGAGAATTCAAGAAACAGCCAAAGAAGCTATTGAAGACAAGTAAAGAAGATGTTGAAGTTTTTAAACCTTTTTCTCCAATTATCCCACGATCCCTCCACAGCTACTTCCTTTCCACCATAACTCCAAATAATCATAGTAGGAATTCCCAGTTCACTGAACATATCTTCATACCCTGAAGTTGTCTCCATCGAGGAATAACTGGGAATATGCATCTCCTCAGGTCTTGGTAGCGGAACCACAGGAAGCTAGACAAGGGAAATTGAATTCTTGAAATTGACGAAAACAGAGAGTCCACGGAAGAGCAGTATACAAAACAGGTAGGAAAAGGGTCACATCTAATTATCCAATAAAGCGAGAAAGAAATTGAGAATCGAGATTAGAAAAGATGAAACAACACAACACATGTAAATGAAGAGCAGCAGAGAAGCATCAATAAATTGGATGAAAAGAAAGAGAAATTGAATGGAATGGATTACAGTTAACTTCGGAAATCAAGAGAGTAGAAGAACCTGGGGAGCGAATACAAAGGGAGAGATGCCGGGAGGAGAGTGAGGCATGGCGTTCTCATCAGCAAAAGCTTCTTCTTCTTCTTCTGTTGTTTCTGCTTCTTCAGAACGACGCACGTTCACATTACCCATTCTCAACTCAAATGAAGAATAATGAATGAAAGGGAAAAAGTTTCAACTTAAAGAATAAGAATAAGAGGCGATCCAGTCGCGTAATTATTATTATTATTTTGATAATAATAATAATAATAATAATAAGAAGAATATTCTCCGACGAGTTTGGAGGGTGCAACACACTGCAACACCATTATCACCGCCTCATTTCTTTTATTTCAGATACTCTTGTTCTTCGCTACTTAACCACGTTTAAAAACATAAAACCAAGTGGCATTTTTAATGTCATCAAAATTTCAGAACATCCTTAAAATACAGATGACTTTTTCCTTCTTCTTTAAAAAAAAAAAATCCACAAATGCGATCAAATGGACATCCTATGAAATAAAAAAGAAATAAAAATAAATTGTTTATGATTTTTTAAAATGTTTGTATATATTTTTAATAATAAAAAATTAATTCATTAATTAATCAATTGCACTTAATAGTATAACCTGATAATATACCAAATCACTCGGATTCTAGAAGATTTACTTTGAACATAAATGTAAAATATTAATTATTCGATAAATTTTACTTACTAATGAATTATAAATAAAAAAATACTGTCAATCCTCGTATGTTGTATGTAAATATTATGTATAGATATATTGATCCCACTTTAATTAATCAAACAAAAGTAATGTTTTATATTATTATTAGATGAAACAAAGAAAGTTAAAGTGTTTAATTACAATTAGGATGTTCATAATTGATTAAAATATAAAATCATTTTACATTTTATTTAACTATATCAATTTTTTATTAAACCAAGTTGTTGGATTTCCCCGAGGTTGGTATCTATGTATCTCTATAACATAATCACTTTGATACAAACCAACCAGTGGACCCAGACCCAATAAGGAAGGATGACCCAATAGTAAGGAAACGAGCAAGAAAGAAGGCAGCATGGATGACTGATTATGTCTGCGGACAAAATTAGAAGATCTTGATATGCTCAAATTAATTCCTGAAATTTCTGCTGCAAATTATTTGTTTAATTCCTGTTTTATTTCCCTAATTTTTGCTTGATTGTTAGCACCCAATTCCTTTTAATAGCTATGATGTAATCAAAACAGAGCAGAATAAAAGTTTTCAAGATCCTTTTTTCCCCAAATTCTATTATTCTCTTTCCCTTAATTTTCTGAGGAGTGGACACTCACTCGAAGAGTGTTAAAACCTTTGAGCATTCTGCAGCAGAGTGTATCATTGGTGCTTTCATCATGGACACAACTGAGCTTATGAGCGCCCTTCAATCCAATATCGATGCACAGATGGTAAAGTTTCGCGAATTACTCGAGTTCCATATAGAGTCAGTTCATTCCACACTCCACCAACACCTGGTAGAAGTCATTCGAAGGTCGCAAACTTACACGTCGAAGGCAAAAAAAACCACAGAATGCATTTGCCGGGCAGACGTCACGTGCGCTGAAATTAAATGTACCACGTTTTGATGGTTCCAATCTCTTGGATTGGATTTTCCAGATTGAAGCTTTCTTCAACTTCCACGAAACTCCGGAAGAGTCCCGACTTCAGATCGTAACCTTTCATCTTGACGGACGCGCTGCTGGCTGGTTCCAATGGGCAACACGTAACAATTTGTTACCATCGTGGCCAATTTTTCTCACCGCTGTTCGCCACCGCTTCGGTCCAACTCAGCACGAAGACATTGAAGGTGAACTCTCCAAATTAACTCAAACCGGCTCTATAGCTGATTTTCAAGCCCAGTTTGAAGAATTGATGAACAAGGTCAACGGTATCTCCGAATCACTACTGATCAATTTTTTCATTACGGGACTGAAAAAACATTTGAGACGGGAATTGCAATTTCACCGACCTGCTACGTTAATGGAAACCTTCGCCATGGCCAGAGCATATGAGACCCGTTTTGATGACACACCAACCATAGGCAAATTGTGGTCTCGCGGCCCACAACACTCCACAGGCTCACATACCCAACCTAACCACAATCAAACAAACCGATCCAATTCAAATCCAAATAACCCATCAAAGAATACTGCAACATCGTTACCACCACTCTTACCCACACCACACTCAAACCCTGCCGTGCGGAACATGCCCTCTGCCGAACTCCGAGACCGCCATTCAAAAGGTCTCTGTTTTAAATGTGATGAGAAATGGAACCCATCTCACCGATGCCAAAACCGCGTGCTTATCCTCATGGGAGCGGATGAAGAGGAACCCCCACCGGAATCCGAGGATAACTCAATAGATGATGTCTCAGGTGACATATTCAGCCTTCACTCCTTGTCCAGCCAGCTCCAAAGTCGATCCTTGCGTGTTTCCGGCCTTTATAACCAAACAAAATTCACCATCCTCATTGACAGCGGGAGCACTCACAACTTTATCAAGCCTGCGTTAGTGGAACGATTGGGGTTACCTATCAAACCATGCCCTCGTTTCAAGGTCGCAACTGGTTGTGGAACCTTCTTGGTTTGTCAATTTTGCTGCCATAATGTCCCTCTTATCTTACAGGACATTAAATTTGAGGTGGATTTGTTTATCCTGAACATTGAAGGTCCCGATGTTGTGTTGGGCTTTCCTTGGTTGCAATCTTTGGGCAAAGTTGCTCATGATTATTCGGCTCTCACTATGGAGTTCATGTGGCAAGGGACCCAAGTTACTTTAGTAGGTGATGCCTCTCTAGCCTCACAATCAGTGTCACTGCATCAGCTTCAAGCATTGGTTCACACCAATAATGTGGCCAGTGTTTTTACCATCACGACGTCCCTTCAAGACGTTGATTCTCTCCCAGAACAATCCAGCAATTTTCCATCCAACCTACCCAGCGCAGTTACTGATCTATTACAACGTTTTAAGTCCATTTTTTCTACACCCACAGAATTGCCTCCTCACAGAACAGTTGACCATCACATCCATCTTGTTGAAGGATCCAAGCCAGTCAATGTGAGGCCCTATCGATATCCTCAATTTCAAAAATCTGAAATGGAGAAGTTGATCCGAGAAATGCTTGATCAAGGCATCATCGTCCCTAGCCACAGTCCATTTTCTTCACCCGTCTTATTGGTAAAGAAGAAAGATGGTACATGGCGATTTTATGTGGATTATAGATCGTTAAATTCTGTTACAGTTAAGGATAAATTTCCAATTCCAACCATTGATGAACTTTTGGATGAGTTGGGTGGCGCAAGAATATTTACAAACTGGACTTGCGTGCAGGGTACCATCAAATTCGGGTTCATCCGAATGACACTTATAAAACGGCGTTCCGCACATATGAGGGCCATTTTGAATTTCTTGTAATGTCGTTTGGACTTACTAATGCACCGTCAACATTCCAAGCCGCAATGAACCAATTGTTTTCTCAATACTTACGAAGGTTTGTGATTGTTTTTTTTATGACATACTGATATACAGTGCCTCTATTGAAGATCACTTGCAACATTTAGCATTGGTTTTCACTTCCTTAAAAACTCATTGTTTTTTTGTGAAACTGTCCAAATGTCTATTCTGTCAAGAGTCCATTGACTACTTAGGCCATATAGTTTCTTCTCAGGGTGTACAGGCAGATCCGGCCAAGCTTGAAGCCATAGAAAAATGGCCCATACCAGTAACGGTCAAACAACTTAGGGGGTTCTTAGGCCTTACCGGATACTATAGAAAATTCATTGCCCATTATGCAAGTATAGTTTCTCCTTTAACTGGTCTCCTGAAGCATGATGCATTCTCTTGGAATGAAAATGCTCAACGGGCCTTCCTTGCCCTCAAGCAAGCTATGCTTTCTGCGCCGGTCCTTAGTTTACCTGACTTTTCTAAAGAATTTGTAATAGAGACTGACGCATCCAACGTCGGTATTGGAGCTGTTTTAATGCAAGAGGGTCACCCCCTTGCCTTCTTTAGTAAGAAATTGGGCCCGAAGTTACAAGTTGCATCTGTATACATCAAGGAACTACATGCCATTACAGAATCTGTTCTTAAATGGAGACAATACTTGTCAGGTCATTTTTTTGTCATCCGAACTGATCATAAGAGCATCAAGGAATTACTTCAGCAAGTAATACAAACTCCAGAACAACAGTCGTATGTGCGCAAACTCTTGGGGTTCCAATTTCGCATCGAGTACAAACCTGGGGCTTCTAATAAAGTGGCTGACGCACTTTCACGTGTGCCGGCTGACTGGTCAGACAGTGACCACACACCCGCACTCAGAGCATTAGTGCCATCACCTACATATGATATTATTACTCAGCTCCAAAAAGATAATGCTTCAGATTTTTTCTATCAGACTTTTCGTGAACAACACATGCAGGGATTGCTCCGGTACCCTTGTACTATCGTGAATGGGGTCCTCTTCCATACCGGTCGTTATGTGATCAACCCAACATCTCCTCTATGTCATACAATCATTAGCAAATTTCACGATACACCAAGTGGTGGCCATGCTGGTGTGAAACGTACCCTAGTTCGTGTTGCTGCCAATTTTTATTGGTCCGGTATGCGTAAAGCAGTGGAAGAGTATGTCGGCTCATGTCTTACTTGCCAACAAATTAAATACTCAACGCAGGTTCCAGCGGGACTCCTTCAACCTCTCCCGATTCCAGAGACGGTTTGGGAAGATGTGACAATAGATTTTATTACGAGTCTCCCTCCCTCTCAAGGATCCACGATTATCCTTGTTGTTGTGGATCGATTATCAAAAACAACTCACTTTGGTGCTCTTCCCACGTCATTTACCGCTTTCAAAGTAGCAGAATTGTTTGTGTCTTTGGTTGTGCGTCACCATGGGTACCCTCGTTCCATTGTGTCTGATCGTGATCCGGTCTTCATTAGCGCTTTTTGGCGCAAACTGTTTGAACTTAGTGGCACCAAGCTTGCTATGAACAGTGCCTATCACCCTCAAACTGACGGTCAAACCGAGGTAGTTAACCGTGGGTTGGAACAATATCTTCGTGCCTTCACTCAACATAAACCGTCTTCATGGGTTGCATTCCTCCCGT